CCTCCAACCCTCTTCTGGGACCTCAGCTCCAAAAATTGTTTCCCCCCCATCAGAACCTACGTCCCACGCCTCCTGCTTTCTCTTCACGCGCCCATATTCCTCTCCCTATCTAGCTTACGTTCTTGGTTCCATTTTCCTCAACACCCTTTGCATACACTTTTCACTCTCTTGCCCTCTCCTGTTTCAATGCACTCACCTGGCAAACCCCTAACTCTGCTTCTACACAGCCACTCACCTGTTGCACACCTGCCTTCTCAGGCAGTTCAGCGTGGCTGGAGAAATTTCTCCCTTATGACCATAAACCTGAGGCAGGCCCTTTGGAGCTGCTTGGTATGCTTATCCTCCTGACAACTATTTCATGCCCTAACGTCTCCTTATCCATCCTTATCCTCCACTGTTGACCTCCTCCCCCTTACACTGAGAAAACAAAGCAATCAGGAAAGAAGACGTCCTGATTTGCCCACTTCTGGGCCCCGGCTCTCTGACTTCCTTGCTCTGTCCCTGGGTAACTGTCTGTGCTCCCAGCTAAACCAGTCCTCTACCCGTGCATGGGATCTGGTGGCCGTTGATGACTAAAGGACATGGTGGCTTCAGCAATTTCCACTCTGTCTCCTGCATCATCGTTTCGCCCTTTCCTACTGGGTTTTCTCTTCAGCATATGAAGAAGCTGTATTTTTTCCTTGACCTTACACTGTCTTCCTGCCACCGCTTCATTTCTCTGATTTCTTTATTTTGTTTATTTTGGGGTGCGTGGGTGGCTCAGTTAATGGAGCATCCGACTTTGGCTCAGGTCTTGATCTCACAGCTGAGTTTGAGCCCTGTGTCAGGCTCTGTGCTGACAGCTCAGAGCCTGGAGCCTGCTTCGGATTGTGTGTCTTCCTCTCTCTTTCCCTCCCCTACTCTCTCTCTCTCTCTCTCCCTCTCAAAAATAAACATTAAAAAAAAAAAGTGCATGTGTGAGAGCAGGGAGGGGCAGAGAGAGAGGGAGAGAAAGAATCCCAAGCAGTGAGATTCTGACAGTGCAGAAGCCTGCCGCAGGCTTGATCCCACCAACTGCCAGATCATGACCTGAGCTGAAATCAATAGTCGGTCACTTAGCTGACTGGGCCGCCCAGGCACCTGTCTGATCCCTTTAGAACAAAACCAGAGTTCCTCTGTTCATTGCCTCTAGTCTCTCTTCTGTTCTCAGACACCCTCCTACTAGACTTTTGCCCCTCCACTCTACTGAAATAGCTCTTGTTCAAGTCACCAATGTCCCCCTCATTGTTAAACATGAGGATCAGTTCTCAGTCTTTTTATCATATCCCTGAGCATCATCTGATGCAGTTGACTATTGCCTCCTTTTTGGAATTGTTTTGGAGGGGGGAGTGCAGAGGGAGAATGTTAAGCAGGCTCCATGCTGGGAGCTCAATCTCTTAGCTCCATCTCACAAACCAGGAGATCATGACCTAAGTGGAAATCAAGAGCTGGATGCTTAACTGACTTGAGCCACCCAGCTGTCCCCAGAACATTTTCTTGTCTAGACTTCTAGGACACTCCAATCCTCTGATTTTCTTTGTAGTGCCTTAGCTGTTCCTTTCCATTCTCCTTGCTGGTTCCACATCTCCATGACCTCTAAACCCTGGCTAGCCCAGATTCAGTTCTTGGACCTCTTCCATTTTTGTTCAGCATTCATTCTCTCTCTTTTTTTTTTTTTTTAAATGTATCTTTTTTTTTAAATGTTTTATTTATTTCTACGAGAGAGAGAGAGAGACAGCATGAGCAGGGGAGGGTCAGAGAGAGAGGGAGTCACAGACTGAAACAGGCTCCAGGCTCCGAGCTGGCAGTCAGCACAGAGCCCGACGCGGGGCTCGAACCCACGAACCGCGAGATCATGAGCTGAGCGAAAGTCGGACGCTTAACCGACTAAGCCACCCAGGCGCCCCTCAGCATTCATTCTCTTAACGATTTCATTCATTCAGATTTCGATCTGCAGCCTGGACCTTTCCCTTGCGATCCATCCTCATGTTTTCAGCTGCTTATCAACCCCCCTGGACATTTAATGAACACCTTAACACCAAACTCCTGACCTCCCTCCTCCCAAATCTGCTCGTCCTGAAATCTCTCCTCAGTAAATAGAAACTCTGTCCTTCTAGGTTGATCAGCTCAGCAATCTTGGATATGTCTTTAACTTCCCTCTCTCTGTGTCACTTTGTCTCTCCTTCCATTACAGATCCTGTCAGGTCTGCCTACGAAATACATCCAACCACTTCTTGCCACCTCCTAACATCCCCTCTAGAACGGCCTCCACTTACTCTCACCTGGATAACTATACTGGCTTCCTAACTCATCTCCGTTTCCTCCCCTTGCCCCCTACAGGTCATCTGCAACACACAAGTCAAAGTGATCTTGCTAAAATATAAATCAGGTCATCTCATTCCTCCCCAAACCTCTCCTGCCTGCCCCTCCTATCCCCGCCCCCCGCCCCCTGCCCATGGCTTCCAGAATAAAGGCCAAAGTCCTTATAAGGATCTATATGCAACCTACAAGGCCCTGTCTGCAGGGTCTTGCCCTCCTCCCACCCCTACTGGCTGGTTCTCTGACACCATCTCCTCCCATAGTCCCTCTCGCTCCAGTTACCTGCGCTGTCTCGCTCCTCCTTAAACACATCTGGTGCATTCCTGCCAAGAGTATTCTTCCCCTGGATTCAAACATGGCTCACTCCCTTACTTCCCTCAGGTCTTGGCTCACATGTCATCTTTTTAGCGAGGCTTTCCTTAAACACTCTAAACCTGCAATACTCGCTTCCTGGGCACTCTCTGATCTTTCCTGACGCTTGCTTTTTTCCCCTTAGCTGTTATCACCATCTAACATAATATACATTTCACTCATTCCGTTCATGTCCACCTCTCGTACTAGACCATAAGCCCGTAAACACAAGCCTTTTCGCCTGTTTCCGTCACTGCTTAATCCACAGAATATAGAAAAGACCCTGACCCAGAATGAATATTAAAACAAAAATGTTTGTTGAATGAATAAGCAACGTATTGAATTGGCCAGAGCGTGAGCAACAGATGTTCTCAAAACTGCTGGTAAGAGTACCGACTGTGTAATTTCCAGAGGGCAAAATGACAATAACTGTTAAAATTACAAATGCACATCTCCTCTGACCCAGCAATGCTCCTTTTATTTTATTTTTAAATTTTTAACTGTTTTATTTATTTTTGAGAGAGAGATAGAGGCAGCATGAGCAGGTGAGGGTCAGAGAGAGAGGGAGACACAGAATCTGAAGCAGGCTTCAGGCTTTGAGCTAGCTGTCAGCAAATAGCCCAACGCGGGGCTCGAACCCATGAACCGTGAGATCATGACCTGAGTTGAAGTCGGACACTTAACCGATTGAGCCACCCAGGCGCCCTCAGCAATGCTCCTTTTAAAATACCCATCATACAAACGCACGTATGTGCAAAGTGACACACGGAGAAAGTAAGTCACTGCAGAATATTTTATCCGTGAAAAGGAACGAAAACAGCCAAAATGTCCAGCAATGGCAGATGATAAGAAATGATAGCTTATCCATACCATGGAATATTTTGCAGTAGCAAAAAAGAAGAAAGAGACTTCTTGTGTCCTGATATAACCTCCTGGATATACACGTTTTTTAGAGAAGAGGAAAGGAGCCGAAAAGTACAGTTTAGTATGCCACTGTTTTTATAAACATAAAAGGAAATATACAAAAAGAATACATGTCTGTATTTTCTTATCTATGCACAGACGATCTCAAGAAAGAAGCCCAAGAAACCGCTAACCATGGCTGCTTGTTTGGAGGGCAATGGATGGGTGAGGAGGAGAGGTGGGAGCCATTCTTTTTTGTCATAAACTCTTTAAAACCTGAATTTTTGCTCCTGTGAATGTTTTATCCATTGAAAGGAGAATAAGGCGGGGTTTATGTTCCAATATGGAATGATCTCTACGATATATTGTTATGAATTTTTTAAAAGTTTGGGGCGCCTGGATGGCTCAGTCGGTTAAGTGTCTGATTTCAGCTCAGGTCAGATCTCATGGTTAGTGGGTTCAAACCCTGCATCAGGCTCTGTGCTGACAGCTCAGAGCCTGGAGCCTGTTTCGGATTCTGTGTCTCCCTCTCTCTGTCCCTCTCTCACTCATGCTCTGTCTCTGTCTCAAAAATAAATAAACTATAAAAAAAATTAAAAAGGTGTGGCACAAAAGAGTGCATACAGTATGCTGAACATAGGGGTGGAGTATCTTTTGTGCCTTAAAAAAAAGTTTGTTTAATGTTTATTTTTGAGACAGAGAGAGTCAGAGTGTGAGTGGGGAAGGGGCAGAGAGCGAGGGAGACACAGAATCTGAAACAGGCTCCTGGCTCTGAGCTGTCAGCACAGAGCCCGACACGGGGCTTGAACTTACGAGCCACAAGATCATGACCCGAGCTGAAGGCAGCCGCTTAACTGACTGAGCCACCCAGACGCCCCTCTTTTATACCTTTTGAACTTCGTACCTTATGCATGCATTTGCTCTTCAAAAGGAAACAAAAGAATTTTTAAAACATCATGGTGGGAGACCGCAGTTTTTACATGCATCACCTTGACAATCCCGTGACCGAAACCCACCAAGTATATCCATCCCCATTTGTCAAACGAAGGAAATGGAAGTTGGGAGACATCAAGCCGAGCAGTGCACAGGTAGAATGGGACTGGCGACTAGAGCCCTGCCTTTCCCTTGTCAACCCCTCAGTCCTCCCAGCCCACCCTCCCGGCTCCGGTTCCCTTCCTCGGGCCCCACCCCCACCCCGGCTCCCGGCAGCGTGTCCTTCCACAGGACCCCACTTAGCCCAGCCCCAGAAAGTCTCCCACCAGGGGCTTCACTCGGAGGCCAGGGGCAGCAGCTCCCTGGACCCTGGCAGTCTCTCTCTGCTTAGAGCCACCAGCAGGAGGCTGGGTGTGCCACCATGCCCCGTGGCTGAACCCAGCCCGCCCTGCCGTCCCAGGGCCTCCAGCGTGTACCTGTCAATAATGACCGGGTCAGAGGGTGTCTCGTTCCGGTTGCCACAGCTCTTCCGGTCACAGCACCGGCTGGCGGAAGATGAGGAGAGAGGGAAGGAGGAAGAGGGTAAAGGAGAAGGTGTGTATGTGTGCCTGTGTGCGCGCGCGTGTGCGCGCGCGCGCATGAGTGTGCACGAGTTCACACACATGCTTCAGGATGAGGATGCTGACGTCCTACGTCGGAGTATGGGATCCCTGGTGTCCAGGGGACTCATTCCCAGGAGCCTGGGGGAGAAGGAGGGTCTTCGAAGGGACTTGTGAGCCCAGTCCTGAGGGTAAGGCTGGCCTGGGAACCTGTGTCCCAAAGGCAAGCTGCTCCTGGTGGATTCAGGAAAGGCAGGCTGCCGGCCACCTACAGGGTCTCTCTCTCTCTCTCTCTCTGGACACTTTTTACACATATAGAAAAGAGCTCAAATTGTAAGCATGCAGCTCATAAATTATCAAAAAGTGAACCCACCCATGCAGCTGGCACCCAGACCAAATATGACCATGTGATCAGAGCCCCAGAAACGCCTTCATTCTCTTCCTTGTCACTACTCTTCCCAAAGGTAGCCGGTGTCCCAACCAGATTTTTGCATATTACTCTTTTTTCCATGCATGAGGAGCTGCCTCTTAGGACCCTGTAGGACTGGTATCTCCTGAGGGGACCTTGCCTAGAAATGCCAAGCTCCAGGGATAACGAGGGAAGGGGAGCCAAGAGCTGTTCCCCCCCCCCCCGCACCTCCCCCTCTCTCATCCTGCAGAGGGAGAACCCTGAGGCTCACCTAGGAGGCGGCAAAGTTTCCTCTCTCTAGCTCCTGAGCTAATCCCGGAGGCCCGGCCCCACCCCCCTCCCCAGTAAACCTCCCCTGAGCTTTATTAGTTAAGCTTTCCAGTGGTGGCAGGAGGCCTCTCTGACAAAAACACTTGGAGAAGCCACATAAACAGGCCAGGCTAATGGGGCCTCAAGGACCCTCTCTTCAGCCAGCACTGTGCTCAAGGGCCTCCCTCCTCCCTCACAGCCTCCCCCCACCAGGCTTCCCTAGGGAGCTGCGAGGAGGAGGAGGCGGCAGGGCGGCAGTGGTCAGGGGCGGGCCTGGTGGGGACCGAGGGGCGTGGTGCAAGGGACCCAAACCTTCTCACCTGCACATGATCTCATGAGTGAGCAGCACTCGGCACATTTCGGGGTTCTTGTCCTGCCCCTCATAGATGATGGCCTGGGGGAGAGGGGGGAGGGCACAGACTCGAGGGGAAGGAGGCTCCTCTCAAGTCCAAATGTAGAGGCGAGATGAGCCCTGCCCCCAGGGAAGATCATGCCCTCCAACTCAATCTGGGGCTCTGGGGCACTCAAGGAGGCAAAGCAAGAGCCGCGATCTGGGCCAAACCAGAACCACCAAGGGGGCGGGGGAGGGATGGGCAAGAGCGGTTGGTCTGCATGAGGTTGGTCTGCAGATTCTGTTTGCCCACAGGCAGCACCTTCCAGAGCCAGCTCTGTCTGAGGCTGAGGATGTCCCCAGACCACAAGGACCAAGTTCAGGCTGTCAGTGGGGTAGACACACCCCTTTCTCCACCGTTCTCATGCCGCTAGTGGACCTCTGCCTCCTGTTTAGAAACACTGTCCCTCTGGGCTCTCCCCACTGGTCTTTCTCCCCATCCCTATCTCGTCCCCAGCCCAGGCCATCATGTCCCCTTTGCGCTGGGGGATCAGCCTCCCCACGGGTTCCCCAGCAACCGCTCTGCCCCGAAGCAGGGAATATGAGCTTCGAAAACCGCAGCTCTGGCTGCCCACATTATAACCCTCTGCGCTCCCCAGCCGGCCCTCCCTTGTGGGGTCCCTGTCTCTCCAGACCTTTGATCCCTTCCACATTTGTCCCCTGCACAGTCCCACTTGCCGCTGCCTGGTCTGCCCCCCACACTGCGGTGACCACAGGCTTTCTAGAAATAAACCACTTTTTCCTCTGCCCTGGGATTAGGTGGAGGCTACCTGAAGGCTGTGGGAAAGCCCGGCTCCACCTTGCATTCCAGGCCACTGATGGGCCCATTTGTGACACAGCCCTGCTCCTTACGGGTACCCACAACTTCTCTGAAAAGCTCTGAGTCTTGGGGCCCTGTTTCACTTTCCCCAAGCTCCTTATGCTGGCCTCTGAGCCTCCTGTGACCTTCCACAGCAGCAAGGCACTAAGGATCTGCAGTAGAAGCTCTGGGGGGCTCCCCCCAGTCCCCTTTACTGGACCAGCACTCCCATCCCCCAGCTGTGGTTAGGATAGGCGGCTAAGGCCTTTCTCTTGACAATTGCTCTCTGCACATAGGAGCCCCCTAGCCTGGAAATGTCTGAAAGGTTACCCTCTCTCCTCGGGAGTGGTCCCCAGCCAACGACTGACTGACACAGGGTCCAGAATCTTGGCCTCCTTGCCTCAAGGGGGCACGACTCCAGGGCCGTTCCTTCTCTAGAGCTCCCTGCGGATCAGGCTGAGGCTAGACTCCAGCTGGGGCCACAACCTTGCTGAGCCCCGCTCAGCCTTCCCTGCCCTGCTTCCTTCCCTCCCCTTCTCTTGTGAGCTTCTCCACTGCTCCCCAATAAAGCCCACGCACCTGACAGCCCATCTAGGCTGGGCTTCCAGGGGATGCAACCTAAGAGCCTTTGTACTAATAGTATCTTTTTCCAGGTTGGAGGGCAAGGCCATGCACACCCTCCTGCCCCGGGAGCCGGACCAGTGGGGGCGGTGGAGGCAAGAATGAAGATGCACACTCCAGCGGGGTCCCAGGGGAAGGCAGGATGGGCCTGAGCATCCCCTGGGCTGGCTCACCTGCTTGGACATGGAGTCAATGAGGCGCACATAGAGGTCCTGCTCGGTCCGAAGTCCTAAGGGCGGGGAGGCAGAGAGGGCTTGCTGAGGCCGCCAATGACTCCCCACCCTCCCCACCTGGGGTCAGGCCCCCATCAGCCCCGAGGAAGGGGGCTGTCTCGGTCACACAAGGTTTGAGAACCCAGACCTCCTCTGGGCTTCACTCACCATTGTTATACACCAATCGGAGGCGGTAATGGATCCCGTTGTTTGTCTTTTCAGCCCCAGGTTCCTGCAGGGACAATTTGGAGAAGATGCTTGGTGTTCACACGGATCTTCCAGCCTCCCCTCAGTCCCCCTACCTAATCCCACCCTCTTTCCCGTCCACTCCACCCCCCTCTCCACCTGCCCCTTCATAGGCTACCCATTCATCTGCCCAGTGGGAGGGGTTCCGCCCCCCGAAGCCCTCCCTCCCCACTCCATGCTCTGGCCCACTGAGCCCACAAGCCTCTCACACGGTCCTTTTCCACGAAATCGATGAAGGCTGTGCGCTCCACCTCCACGGGCTGCCCCTGCCGGTCATACATGGCCAGCACGAAGTGGAAGAAGTTGGATTTCCTGAGGTTGGAGGGGGGCTGCTTCTCAAAATGTGCGCGTGCCAGGCCCACGCCACTGCGAGGAGGAAAGGAGCTGGGAAACCACTGGAGGTGCCCTCCGGAGACAAAGACCCGGTCGCCTCTGACCAGGTCGGTGAGCTGGTCAGGACGTGGGTCTGACACGGCAAGAGTCTGGGCAAAGAAGTTACATTGGATGGGCCCATTCCACCCTTGCCTTCACCAGAGATCTCAGTTCCAGACAGGGCGCCCCAGACGGAGGCCACCCTAGTCGGCTCAGTGTCACAGCAGGCAAAAATGGAGGCAAGCCTTTCCCCGGGCCCCACATTTTTGAAAGGCTGATCTCTAAAACCACACATGTGAGCGGCCAGCCTAACTGACCAGAGGCTCCTGTGACTGCCCTTTAGAACATCAAGGAGGCAGCTAGAAGGTTCTGGAACAAACAACCCACAGTACCCCAGCCCACGACATTAAACAGGCTCAGGAGCACTAGTGTGCCCAGCCTGCAACCTGGGCTCTGTCTGAAGGCACGGGGTGCTCTCCCCAGGTATACAGGGACCTGCCTTCACACGTTGGGAAAGACACACACTGGTTCCCCTGGGCGGGAGGACCTTATGGTCTAGTCTTGCCAAGAGCTTTCTCCTAGCTCATCAGAAATGATTCCTAGAGGGGCGCCTGGGTGGCTTAGTCGGTTAAGCGTCCGACTTTCGCTTAGGTCATGATCTCGCGGTTCGTGGGTTCGAGTCCCCGCGTCGGGCTCTGTGCTGACTGCCAGCTCAGAGCCTGGAGCCTATTTCAGAGTCTGTATCTCCCTCTCTCTCTGACCCTCCCCTGCTCACGCTGTCTCTCTCTCTCTCTCTCTCTGTCTCCTAGAAATAAATAAAAATATTAAAAAAAAAAAATGATTCCTAGACACAAGGCCTGGGCGAGAGCAGAAGAAAAACAAAGGCCCTATTCATCAAGTATTTCCTCAGCCTCAATGATGTACCAAGCACTGGACACATGGCACTGAGTGGGGCCAGAATTAAATGCCTGGAAGGAAGGGGAGACAGATACAGAGCTACAACACAAGGCATCGTGGTGGGTGCTCCCCAAAAGATGTTACTATACCAAAAAAATGTATAGAGGCAAAGGAAGAAAAAAATGACTTCTTTCTGTGAGAGATGAGGGAAAGCCTTCACGGAGAGGGTGGCTGTTTCCCTGGTTCTTGAGGAGTGAATAGGAGCTCAATAGTTGCAGCAGGCCAAGGGAGCAGAAGAAGGGGCATGAGAAGTGGTTGTAGGTGTGAGGGTTGGTGGCACTGGACCACAGATTTTAGAAAGTGAAGGGAAGAAAAGCTGCATTGGCAGTGCCAGACTGCGGAGACACAGAAACCTGGCCACGGAGTAGACTTTCTCCTCTGGGCCAAGGTCTTAAAAAGAGTGTTCCTTAGGTCTCTCATAGCTTCAGATCTTCCTTCTCCAAAAGGCTGCTATGGTCACAGTTACTGGGAAATGAGGCTAGCATGCCCAAGTGTATGTGGGGGGCCCTGGGACACCCTCCAGGAATGGACCCTACTCGACTTGGCTCAGGCTGGTGCTCCCCACGTGTGGTAGCCAAGATGGTGCCCTATGATCCCTTCCTCCTGGCATTCATGCCCTTGTGTAGTCCCCTCCCAGGTTGTATCAGGGTTGGTCTGTGTGGCCAATAGAATACAGCACAGATGAGAACATATGAAATCTAAGGTTAGGTCATAAAAGACATGGTGGCTTCGGCCTTGTTCTGTTGGATCACCCATCAGGAGCAAAGCTGGCCGCCATATTGTGAGGACACTCAAGCAGCCATGTGGAAGGTCTACATGGAGAAGACCCAAGGTCTCCTGCCAACAGCCAGCACTCAGCTTGCCAGCCCTGTGAATGAGCCACATTGGAAGATCTACCCTCCCCAGTGAAGACTTCAGATGAAGTCTGAATAAGCAGCAGAAACCCTGAGCTGCTCCCTGATTTCTGAACCTGAGAAACTGTGTGAGATAATGCCTCTTTGTTGCTTTACACTGCTGAGTTCTGGGTAACTTTTTAAATGTATCAATAGATACTTTTGTTGAGGGATGTGGTTTGATAAATACAATGAAAGGCCACCAGAAGGTTCTGAAGTCAGGCAGGGTTTAGAAGATGATGCCTGTGGGGAGGGTGCAGTGGGGTGGGAAAGAGAAGCTGCCACGGGAATGCAGAGGATAGGATGAGGGTGATGGTGCTGCCCTGAGGACCATTCAGACCAGAGTCTCATCATGGACAGGTCGCCATGACAATATCTGCCATATATGTCACTACTTAATATTGTTCTTCATGTGAATTTAAATGGAGTTGCTCTTACTCTGCTTCATGCAAAACCATAACATCTGGGATATCCTGGCTTGAGAGGCTTGTCGTGTTTTTACTCATACATATTCAGGGTTGTTGTTGTTGTTTTATCATACATATTCAGGGTTGTTGTTGTTGTTTTAATGTTTCTTTATTTTGAGAGGGAGCGAGGGCACTGCGCATACAAGCATATGCAAGGAGGGGAGGGGCAGAGACGGAGGGAAAGAAAGAATCCCAAGCAGGCTCTGTGCTGTCAGCACGGAGCCCAGGAACCGTGAGATCATGACCTGAACCAAAATCAAGAGCTGGACGCTTAACTGACTGAGGCAGCCAGGCGCCCCTACTCATACGTATTATAGTAAATACAAATGCAATAAAAGGACAATTGTCCCACCTTCTTAAGCCTATTGGGAGCTTCACTGGTCCATGTGAAATGGTGACTTCAGGGGCATAAGTACTGGGTCTTGTTTGTCTCCATCAAGGAGTTGGAGGAGAGCCACCCACACCTTCTCTTCCTCACCAAGGGTTCTTCTTTGTCCCTTTCTGCCCGGGATGTTCTCCCTCCAGCTTCCCACCTCCTCAGCCTGCTCCTCCCCTCCCTTTCAGGCAACAGTCCTTTCAAGTCCTGGCCTTGACCCTCCAGCTTCCCATTTGCCAAGAGGCAGGGAAGCCCAAAGAGCTTTGATCACAGCAGGTCCTTGATTACTGTTGATGCATATGCTAATGAGGCGGCAACCCTGACTCCTCCCTCCGGCCTCAGGACCAGCTTGGGGGGGGGGGGGTGGCGCGGAGAGGAGGTGCTCCCAGGGTCAGGTTCCAGGACCACCTAAGGGGAGAAAAGGCGGAAGGGGGTGGGCTTGTGGAGCCCTCCCAAGGCACTGTGCCCTGTATTCTGTCTGCTAGCCTGGGGAAGGTGCCTACAGGCTCTCAGGCAGCAGCCACGGAGGGTCCAAGAAGAGGGGCCTTAGCAGACAAGGGGTGGATGCCGACCAATAGCACAGTCCCCTAGACCACTCAATGTACCCTTTCTTCACGGACACCCCTGCACTCCCAGGCCAAGAGTAAATCAATGACGCTGGCAGGAGTCTCCTCTCTCATCCATCGCTCTTGGCAAATATCAGTCAGTCCTGGGTCCAAGCTGCCAGCCAGCTCCTGCCAGTCTTCTCAGGACCCGACCTGGGAAGTCTGGCCCAAGTCCCAAGCCAAATTCCCTTCACAGGGCTGCCCTCCATCCAAGAGGGGATTCCTGGGGAAAGAGGTCAGGAAACCCAGGGAGAGAAAAGGGAGTAGGTAACTCTGGCCCCTGCCTGGGGCCTGTGTACCAGTATCCAGTGCTGCCGGCTGGGCCACACAGAGGGGCTGTACAGGCCTCGCACGCCTGTGCCCTACCCCAAAGAGGGGGTTGGCTCAGTTCCATTCTGGAGGCAGCCCAGCATTGTCGTCCCTTCCCCACCTCGCTCAGCGGGTCTGAGGCACCCGCATCCTCCCAGGCTCACAGACATCCAGGCAAAACAATGGGACAGGTGACTATCAAGACCAAGTTTACAGTTTACAGCTCTGGACAGGATTACTATCAAGACCAAGGACAAAAAGATAGGAGGAACAGCTCCAGCCAGCTGCAGAGTGAGCCAGACCCCTACTGGGCGCACCCAGGGCTCGCTTCTGGTCTGTGGTTTACCCTGTTCATGCTCTGGCTGGACATGTGAGAGGGTCAAGGTGAAATAGAAAAAGTTGTACTTGAAAGGCATTCTGGTATTTCCTCTGAACAAGAGGCAGACAATGACACAAGGGTCAGCACATCAGCAAGATCGCGAGGTAGGTCTGCACTATCCTTCCTTCTCCCGGTTCCCATGCACCTCCACCCCCAACTTGCAGGAGGTGACCAATCAACACCCCGAAGTGGCGAAGTGGGAGTGTAAGCCCCCAAGGGAGAGGGTTGGGAGGGGTAAGGAGAGACTCTTGTTCTTTTCCCCCTTGGGAAGAGCTGATGCTCTTGTAATGAGGAAACAAGCCAAGATTAAAGAACACAAAGAAAGAAAAGAGAGATTTGCTCAAACAACTCAGAAAATAGACGGGGGGGGGGGGGGGGGGGGGGGGGGGGGGGAAGGTGCAGAGAGGTCCAGAGCCCCTGCTGGGTGCAGATGCGTGGGGGCTACTGTCTGCTCTCTTACTGGCTTAGAGACTGAAAGCTGTGGATGAAGGCCAAAGTCTCTGATCCTGTGGTCTCCAAAGTGGGGTTGCCCAAGACCGCCACCAGGATGTGGGGAGAAACCTGCAGGTGTGTCTGCTGCTATGAATCCTTTATCTAGAAGAAAGAAGGGAAGCAGGAGTAGCGTCCCTGAAGGCTGGAGAGGCAAGGCTTCAAATGCAAACAGTGATTCCGGGAAATGCTTGGCCAGGCTGGGGAATGAGGCAGAGAGAGCAAAGCACTCTGTAAAAGGTGCAGCATCAACAAGTTACTGCTGTGGCCAACAGCAGCTCAGGCTCTGGAAACAGTATAGAACAGGTGCTTCAGAGTTCTCTGCCAGAGGGCTGGAGGAGGGAGCCGGGGTAGTTATCCACCAACTTCGGCCATTGGCTGAGGGGTCCCGGGGCAGCATTTCTATGGTACTTCGGGTCTGGTGTGCAAGCTATGGCTCTGGGCAACTGCGGAGGTCTCAGGAAGCAGATGACGGTCAGGGTGCGGAGGGGATAAGGGTGGTGTGCCAACTACCAGCTA